TCTTGTTTTTCAAGACTGGCAATCAGCAAGCCCCAGTAAGCCTCCTGTGTCTGCCTCCTCAGTGCTGGGCTTACAGACACATATGGGACCATGTCTGGCTTTTCCTGGGTCCTGGGATGCAACTCTGGTCCTCATACTTGAGCTGCAGGAGCTCTTTTGGGGGGTTTCTTTCTTTCTTTCTTTTTTTTTTTTTTTTTGGTTTTTCGAGATAGGGTTTCTCTGTGTAGTTTTGATGCCTGTCCTGGATCTCGCTCTGTAGACCAGGCTGGCCTCGAACTCACAGAGATCCACCTGGCTCTGCCTCCTGAGTGCTGGGATTAAAGGCATGTGCCACCACTGCCTGGCTGCAGGAGCTCTTAATGGCTGAATCATCTCCACTCCATACACGTGCTCTAAAGCATCTTTCAATGTAAGTGAGCATGCATCTTGGCAAGAATAGGAAGGCAGGAAGGCTCAGCTGTTAGGAGAGCTTCCTGTTCTCGCAGAGGACCCATGTTCAGTTCCCAGCACCTACATGGTGACTCATAACTGTGTGTAGCTCCAATCCCAGAGGATCTGATGCCCCCTTCTGGCCTCCGAGGGCACTGCACACGTGGTGCATTTACATGCACTCAGGCAAAACACTCATACACACACAATAAGATAAATCTTTTCAACAATATAATAATAAATAATAATAAATAGGAAATTAGGAGAGGGGGAAAAAGCCCAGAGGAAAACTCTCTGGTCTCCCTAGTGTTCCTAGACTGTATCTGCCTTGCTTGGCTCTACCAGTTCTCTTAGATACAGACTCCTCCTCCACCCCCAGGTCTATGGACAGTCCTACTGCACACCACACACACACAGGCTCTGCCCTGCCAACATGCTGGCCTGGCCTTCCTCCTGTTCACCGCCCCTCCCCCCACACGCACACACCTCAGTATAGGCACTCACTCAGTAGACACAGTCAGTCTTGGGTTGCAAAGTGAGTTTTTATTGCTGACTCAACTGACCAAGTTCAGGGCTCCCACCCAGACAGCAGCAGGCAAGAGGCAGCTCTGGGGACACCTGGAGAGCAACCTCTGCAGTCACAGAACAGGTGAGTGCTCTACGATGCAAGTACACGGCCAGCCAGTAGATGGCGACAACGAGTGAGTGCATCCTGTAAGCAGAGCCCCTTAGTCCAGATGGGATGGACCGCTTGGGCCATTTCTGGACCAAGCTCGCTGGTGGCTCAGACCTTGGCCAGCAGCACCATGCACCAGGGCACCTTTTACTCCCGAGAGACACAAGACTATGCCCAAAGGTCTGGGAGAGCAGGAAACAGCAGGCCACTCTCAGAGGCAAGGCTTCAGCCCCAGTTACCTGCTTGAACATGCCAAGTTCAACAGCACATGTACGACGTGGGTAGGTTTTAGCTTCGTGATTCACGGGCAACATGGCAGGAAAGACCATGTCCTTTATCATAAAGGGAGGAAGGACACACAGTGGTGGATTTAAACACAGAGGTCTAACTCATTAGTTTACACTCACCCACATGTCAGACCCACTCCAGGTGGAATGGAGGACATTTTCCTTATGTTCCTGCTCCTGGTCAGAAAAAGTGCACAGTAGACTTAAGAGAACACAGCAAGCAGTGCCTTTCCCAGTAGTTCCAGAGAACCCTCTGCAGAGACACCACTGGGCTGGGGATGTGACTCGGGCACAGCACTTGCCAATGCAGGCAGGGGACACTGTTCAACCCACAGCACCAAGAAAAGAAGTCATCTTCACCAGTACGTGTGTCTGTCCTCCCAGAACTACCTCACATGTATAAGCTTGGATTTGTATAACCTCAGTTTGCACACGTGGACGGGAAATATAAAAATACGATACAATTTACTCCACAAATTTACTCAGTTATAAAAACCCTTTTATATCACAAAGAGTATCTTAGTATTTGTGTGAGAACATTAAAACTTTATTCTCAAATAACTTTTCTGGAACTCCAACACCACTTCCGAGAATCAACAATCTAGGTCAATGGTCCCAGTCTTTCTAAAAAGGACCAGTTAACAATACTTCAGCTCTGTGAGTCCATCTGTCACGGGCTTGGGTTTTTGCTTTGGTGCTTGAGTAGTTTTCAATTATATTCTTCCTCTGACAATGTAAAAACCAATCTGAGCACCAGCCAGAGAAAGAACAGGCTTTGGGAGACCAATGAGATGGCTCAGTGGATAAGGGCACTTGGTGACCTTAGTTCAATCCCCAAGATCCACTTAGGAGGAGAGAACCCATTCCAAGAAGTTGTCTTCTGACCTCCACAGGTATGTATCTGCACATGTACATGTACACACACACAATTAAGTGAATAAATGGAAAAAAAATGTATAAAGAGTCGGCTTTGAGCCACTGTTAGCCACAGTAGTCTGAAATATTGTTGAGATACCAAATGAGGTAAAATACTTAAACTTGCTTTGTGAGTCGAAGTCTAAGGTAAAAAATTATTACACATCTTTGTTATGTAACGGTTGCATATGTCTTTATTTTAGAGTAGTGAAGGTATGTGCTAAGGTGTCTATGTGGTCAGAAAACGTCAGGAAGTAGTCAGCTCTCTCCTCCAGCACATGGGTCCTGGAGAGCAAACTCAAGTGGTCAGGCTTGGTGGCCAGCACCTCACCTGCTGAGCATCTCACCAGCCCTAGAGTGTTATCTTTAAAAATCACGATGTGGAGTATGGTACTCTAAGGCTAGTCAAAAGCCCATGGCTCGGCAGTACTGTCTTGTGAAGTGGTCCTGCTGTCAAACTGCCTTCTGAATATTTAAGTTTGTTAGGTTTGAGGAATCATTTCTATAGTTCGTCTCTAGAGCACTTTCTCTGTGTAGAGCACCCGAGACCATCATGAGGACCAGACACAGCGCTCCCTCCTGAGTATGCAGCCGGCTCTAGGTGCTGCTTTCTGCTGAGCCTCCTCCTCTTCCGCTGATGGTCATTCTTACCTTCCCTTGGGAGAGGGAGAGGGAAAGGGAGGGAATGCAGTCGGAGGGGGGAAATATATGTATTTATGTTTGCAGCCACAGATCTGTGCTGCTCTCAACCTTCTCTTTTACATGCCAGGGTACAGAGCATAAAAGATTACAGAATGCTCAGTCCTAAGAGGAACTAACACGTGTACCACACCATCCTCCCAAGGTTCATGGACCATTACAAAAGAAGGGATGTACAGAGCGGAGGAGCCAGAGATGAGGGATGACTACAAGAATGTAGTATCTTCTCGACAGCAGGGCAGCTGCACTATGAACTCACAGTAGTTTGCCAGCAAGACTTCGGCCGGTCCCAGCCACCAAATCCCAGCATGGAGACGAGAATTAGGCATCAAATCCCACCCCTAGCCATGGAGCTATTGGCAACGGATAGCTGCTGGGAGAGGAAGAGAGATGTGTAAGAGCGCAGCCCCTGAGAAGTCAACCACGCCCTATGAAAGGCCACACACCCAAAATTATTGGGCAGAGCAAACTGGTCTTGATGGGTTCAAAAAAAAAGAAAGAAAGAAAAGAAACAAAGTTGGGTGGGTGGGCAGGGTTGGACCTGGGAAGAGTTGGAGGAGGAGTGAATATGATCAAAACATGCACAAAACTCTCAAGAACTAATAAAAAAGACTTAAAAGAGAGAGGGAGGCCGGGGAGATAGCTCAGTGATTAAGAGTACTTGTTCTTGCAGAGGACCAAGGTTTGAGTCCCAGCACCCACATGGCACTCAGAGTCATCTGTAACTCCAGTTCTTGGGGACTCTGACACCTTATTCAGAATTCCATTGGTGCCAGGCATGCAGGCGGTACAGATACATACACCCAAGAGAGACACTCCTGCACACAATTAACTCTACTGCTCTTGAGGAGGACCAGAGTTCAGATCCTAGCACCCATGCCAGGCAACTCACAATCTCCCTTCGTACCTGTTCTCATATGTAACACCCACATGCAAATGCACGCATACACATAACTAAAAACAGTGAAAATAATTTTTTTTTTCAGAGCTGAGGACCAAACCCAGGGCCTTGCACTTGCTAGGCAAGTGCTCTACCACTGAGCTAAATCCCCAACCCCGAAAATAAAATTCTAAAAAGGTAGGGCACATGAATTAGATAAGAGGATATAAAGCTAATTGTTTTTCTAGTTCTAATTCTGTACAGATCTTGTATTTCAGTGGTGGATAAGAGTATATAATATGGGGCTGGAGAGATGGCTCAATGGTTAAGAGCATTGACCTTCCAGAGGTCCTGAGTTCAATTCCCAGCAACCACATGGTGGCTCACAACCATCTGTAATGAGATCTGGCGCCCTCTTCTGGCCTGCAGGTATACATAAGGCAGAATATGCATATATAATAAATAAATAAATTTTTTAAAAAAAGAGTATAAAATATATTCAAGCAGAGCAGTGGTGGCACACGCCTTTAATTCCAGCATTTAGGAGGCAGAAGCAGGTGGTTCTCTGTGAGTTCGAGGCCAACCTGGTCTACAAAGTAAGTTCCAGGATGGCCAGGACTATTTCACAGAGAAATCCTGTCTTAGGAAAAAAAGAAAAACAAAACAAAACAAAAACCCAAAAAACTCACTTAAGCTGGTCATGGTGGTACAGGCCTTTAATCATAGGACTTGGAGGAAGAAGCAGGCAGATCTCTGTGAGTTCAAGGCCAGCCTGGTCTACACAGTGAGTTCCAAGACTGTGAGATGGATGTCTTTAAAAAAAAAAAAAGGTATAAAATATATTCAATACTGAAAGTGGAAAACTTAATGTGAAGTTCAACAACTTCTACTCCAAATGCTAACTCTAACTGTATAGAAGTTCATTAAATCGTAGAGACACAGGTCAGGCAGTGGTGGCGCACACCTTTAGTCCCAGCACTCAGGAGGCAGAGCCAGGCAGATCTCTGAGTTCCAGGCCAGTCTGGTCTACAGAGTGAGTTCCAGGACAGGCACAAAGCTACACAGAGAACCCCTATCTCGAAAATCAAAACAAAACAAACAAACAAACAAAAAATTGTAGAGACATTAGATCTGGTTTTTTATTTTGTTCTTTTTTTTTGCATTTTTGTTGTTGTTTGGGGGTGGCAGTTTCGAGACAGGGTTTCTCTGGATTTTTTCATAGTAATACTTTTCTTATGTGGATTCCATCTCTGGCCTCCACACACATGTGCACATATATACACAATATACACCCACATGAACACATACACACACACAAAGGCATCAGAATCAGACTAAAGGGCCCTACCAATGCCAACTTTTTAGCTATAATACTTCAACATACTTTTAGATGTTTCCACTAGAAGAAGCCAGGTAAAAGCTAGAAGGAACCTCTGAGTTATTTTTACAGCTTCTTACAGTCTGTATTTTTTAAAAAAAGGCTTTAGAAAAATCGAATTGAAGATCTTGTCCCAAAACATTGTTAAGTAATGATAAGGCAACAGAGCTACAGAGCAGACTTCCCAGGAGTGGAATGTCATCAGCCACAATTGGACAAGTCTCCACAGGCCGTGGGGTTCTTTCCAAACCATGATCAATCAGCTCTGAGATCTGTAGCTGTGATTAGGAAAGAGTGTCAAGTTGACAGGTGTCTAATTTGGCTACACCGATCATAAATCCTCAGTTATCTCAGAGCATCTCATTAAAATCACCTACAGGCCACACATTCCTCTAATCGCTTCCTACATGGCACAGAAGTATACAGTGTTAATTAGTTTATCAAACTGTAATACACTAACTCATTTATGTCCACTTCCTCCACAAACCATGACTTGAGGCACAAAACGTATCTTGAGCCAGGGGTGGTGGTATAGGCCTATCATCCCAGACCCAGGAGACCGAGGCAAGAGGATCAGAGTTCCAGGCCAGCCTAGGCTACATGAGCGAGCACCCTGAACTCTGCCCCACATTTTGTTCAGCTCATGCTAATCACTAGAAGCTGAGTCATGGCAGCCTCTTAACAGTCAGTCAGAGACAAACTAGTAATAACTCTCTTGAGGTTGGGGGTGGTTTTCCTTTCTGACTCGGGATATTCAAAGAAGCTCAGAGTTTTTATTTGCATGTGTGTAACGAAGTCCCTCAAAAGCAGGAATTTAATTCATAAAGATTTCTATAGTCACTTCATTTTATTTGTTAGTCACCTAAGACATTACAACTCAGTGTGACTTACAATAGAGAGGTCAGGCTCTTGAGGGAGAAAAGCCAATATGAACTGAAGAATGGATCAGCTGTACAGTGGAAGCCCGTTAGGGTGTTCGCTGTCACCGGGTGCGGTGGCGCACACTTTCAATCTCAGCACACAGGAGGCAGAGGCAAAGGCAGATCTCTGAGTTTGAGGCCAGCCTGGTCTACAGAGAGAGTTCAGGACAGCGACAGCCAGGGCTGCACAGAGAAACCCTGTCTTGAAAACCCAATGAGATAAAACAGGATGTTCTCCGAATCAAGCACCAAGAGTAACAAGTGTTTTCAGGCACTCATCCACAGCAGCACTCTGGGGGCTTCAGCACTGGAGCAAAGCACAGGGTGAGCACTCCATGCTGTAGAGCTCTCAGTGAAAGAAGTTTATTAACACATATTTCCTTCACCAGGCACGATGGCACACACTGGAGGCAGAGGTGGGTGGAGCTTTGTGAGTTTGAGGTCAGCCTGGTCTACAAAGAGTTCCAGGATAGCCAGGGCTACATAGAAAACCGTCTTGAAAAATCAAAACCAAAACCAAAATCAAACCAGTTACTTCAAATAAATATTTTATTTTTTGGTTTCTTGAGACAGGGTTTCTCTATGTAACAGCCTTGGCTGTCCTGGAACTCGATCTGTAGCCCAGGCTGGCCTCAAACTCACAGAGATCCGCCTGGCTCTGCCTCCCAAGTGCTGGGATTAAAGGCGTGCGTCACCACCACCCAACTCAAATCAATATTTTAAAAGGCACCAACCAAAGCGGTAAAACAACAAAAGCAGGAACATCCAGAGGTCAACTGGGCTGTCTAAAAACACCATGAGGCTCAAGACCCCAGAGCCACCAAGGACTCCTTAGGGTCAGTCATCTCAACAGGCTCAGAAGCCAGTTTAATCCGCAGAACCTCAGCAAAGCCATCGCCAAACCAGCATGTGACGTGTGCCGTGTCGACAGTGAAGAAGAAAAGTCGGTCCTGACAGAGCTTCCGTCGGTACACAGACCGGGGGTCTGCCGAAAGCACAGCCTCAATGGCACACTTGGCTTCCTCTGTGGACTGAAAGTATTTAAAGGACATCCGACCAGCATCTGCAACGAGAAAGACACAAGCTTGTACTTACGATCACGCAGGTCAAACTTGGAGACAGTGAGTTTTGGCATGAGATGTGGTAGCTCAGCAGGTCATATTTAAAGGAACAGGGTCTGGAAACCTATTCATTACAGAGACCTGCGCCTCCAAAAGTTCTCTTCTACTGAACAAAATACTCGCGGTGTATTTTCTATAAATCTCCAAAACAGGAGAGGCAAGCCTTCATTTCTGTCCACAAATACCACTCTTTCTATGTTCAATCTATACTTTAACTCTTGTCATTTTCCTAATGGAAGGGACATTGTCAAAGAAACAAGTGGCATTCTCAGTATTCTCAAGGCTGCCCACCATCCACCCCAGACATCTTTAATTCCAGCACTTGAGAGGCAGGGGCAGGTGCTGTGGAATAATCCTTCAATACACTGTGAATATGCATTACTCTCATTGGTTAATAAAAAGCTGACAGGCCGGTAGCCAGGCAGGCAGTTAAACAGGAAAGCCAAACTGAGAATGATGGGAAGGGTGGATTCAGGGAGAGACGCCAGCCAGCCACCCAGGAAGCAAGACATGCTAAAGAACAGGTAAAGCCATGAGCCATGTGGCAATACACAGATTAACAGAAATGGTTAAATGTAATAGTTAGCTAGTAACAAGCCTGAGCTATCAACCAAGCATTTGTAATTAATACAAGCCTCTGAGTGATTATTTGGAAACTGGCAGTCGGGAGAGAAATGTCCAACTACAGGCAGGCAAGATCTCTGTGAGTTTAAAGTCAGCCTGATCTACATAATAAACCCCAGACCATTTAGTGCAGAGGGAAAGAGGGAAGAAGGAAAGGTAGAAAACCAGGCATCCAAACCCCACTGCTAGAAGCAATGCCACATTCCTAACAGATGGAGAGTCCAGGACAAAACTTCAAAAGACCATTAAGAAGCTCAGCATCCTCAGAGAGGCCCAGTCATATATTTCAGGTAAACAGATGGTCTCCCTTTCAAGTGACAAAACCTCCCATGTGTATGCATTCTTCAACAAAAATAAAGTATATATGGGCAGCTGAAGAGATGGCTTAGCAGTTAAGAGCACTTGTTTTGCAGAGGACTAAGATTCAGTTCCCAGCACCCATATGGTGGCTGACAACCATCCAAAACTCCAGGGGATCTAACACCCTCTTCTGACCTCCTTGAGCACCAAGTATACATATGGTGCACACACACCCATGTAGGCAAAACAATCACACGCATAAAGTAAAGTAAGTAAATCATATATGTGTGAGTATGTGTATTTTAAGGAACTGGTGAGAATGACAGGGAGTAAAGGTGTTTGCTGCCAAGCCTGACAACCTGAGTTCAATACCTCGTGGTGGAAAAAAAGAACTGATTGCTGCAATTCCACATAGGCACTATGGTGTGCACAGGTGCAACACACACACACACACACACACACACACACACACACACACACACACACGATAGATAGAGAAACAAACAAATAAATTTATGTTTGGGGGTTTCTTTTGGCTTTTTGAGACAGGGTCTCTCTGTGTAGCCCTGGCTTGCTTGGAACTCACTATGTAGATCAGGCTGGTCTCGAATTCACAGAGATCTACCTGCCTCTGCCTCCTGAGTGCTAGGATGAAAGATGTGTGCTACCATGCCTGGCCAAATGGTTTTTGTTGTTGTTGTTTAGGATTTTTGTTTGTTTATTTGTTTTGAGACAGGGCTTCTCTGTGTAACAGCCCTGGCTATCCTGGAACTCACTCTGTAGACCAGGCTGGCCTTGAATTCAGAGAGATCCGTCTGCCTCTACCTCCCATGTGCTGAGATTAAAGGCGTGTGCCACCACCACCTTGCTCCAAATGTTTTTAAGTGGCATATAAAACCCCATGTGGGCTCATGCCCTTAATGTAGGCTCTGGGACCCTCCTCAGTTCACTATGCTACATGACCTCTCAGAAGCCACACCCCCTTCCTCTCGGGCTATGCACTGGCTCTCCAGAGGCTGGCTTCCTTTCCCTGGTTAAACTGATTCACTCCTTCATCTCCTTGGTGTCTGCTCTCGTGTGTCTCCTCAGTGAAGCCTCCTCTGGTCATCTATTTCCAAATGCAACCCTCTAACACTGCCCTGCTCTTTGTTACATCCTGGGCCACCATTACCTTCTAACAGTGTATATTTCTATGTGCTTCGCACGGCAGTGTGCTGACTTCTATGCCTTGAGCTTACATCTCTCCGCCCATTAGAATGCAAACTGTGGAGGCAGGGCTTTCCTGACCCCCTTTCCTCACTGATGTTTCCCCCACAGGCAAGAACAGTGCTGGAGAGGCTCAGTGAGCAGCTGCACAGTAAACAAACGCACTTACCTCACCCTACGGCCATGCTGGCTGTTTACTGAAAAGTAACACAAGAACAGCTCTCAACCCTGTGCAGATCTGTCATCTCCTTGGAAACCAGCTACTTCTTGCTAGCATCCTCATTCCCACCTCTTAACAGCCACCAGCTCCCTTCATCCTCCATCTGCTATGGACTGGGGAAGTCAAACAACACATGCTAAGAACCATGTGCTAAATGGGCTCCCAAACAGAGCCCTGTGGCCTTCTTTTGGCAGGAAGTGCATGCCCTGTAGGGGGAAGCACTATGGCAGGAGGGTCTTCTCTCCCTGTGAGATCCTGGGGTCCCCTGACAGAAGAAAACAGATACCTTTGGCCAGATAGAAAAGCAAGAAAGAAATTGGGTGTACCCAAGTATACGCAAGCACAATCTACCATCTGAACACTGTCACAAAAGAGAACAGAGAAAGGCAAGCGGAGCAGGGAGAGGGCTCAGCGGTTAAGAGCACCTGCTGCTCATACAAAGGAGTTGAATTCGGTTTTCACTACCCACATCGGGCAGTTCCCAAATGCCTGTAACTCCAGCTCCAGGAGATCCAGAGCCCTGCCCTGGTCTCCACCAGCACCTACATGGACACATACCCCCAAGACAGACACACATGCATACACGTGATTACAATCAAATAAATATTAAGTAACTGAAAGATGAAGGCTAAAAGTCATGGGCATCTCCTGAGGCAGCTGTCACTCTCAGAGGCCTTCTGAGCACCTGAACTAACCACCAACCACACAGTTGTCAAACAGAAAGTGCCCTGTGATCGTGCATCCAGTTTATAATCCTGCTCCTTAGAAATCCAGTCATGGGGCTGGAGAGATGGCTCAGGGGCTAAGAGCATTAGTAGCTCTTCCGGAGGTCCTGAGTTCAATTCCCAGCAATTTCATGGTGGCTCACAGCCATCTACAATGGGATCTGATGCCCTCTTCTGGCATGCAGGTGTATATACAGATAAAGCACCATATACATAAAATAAGTAAATTTTAAAAAACTATTTAAAAAGATGGGCAGCAGTGGTGCACACCTTTAATACCAGCACTCACAACACTCAGGAGAGAGAGGCAGGTGGATCTCTGTGAGTTCAAGGCCAGACTGGTCTACAGAGTGATTTTCAGGACAGAAACCCTGTCTTGAAAAAGGCGAAATATATATACACACATATATATGTATATATAAATTAAAAGGGGGGGGTGCTGGAGAGATGGCTCAGTGGTTAAGAGCATGACTGTTCTTCCAGAGGAGCCAGGCTTATTCCCAGCACCCACATGGTGGCTCACAACTGTCTGTAACTCCAGTTCAAGCGGATCCGACACCCTCACACAGGCATACATGCAGGCAAAACATCAATGAATATAAAAATAAATAAATTATTAAAAAAAATCACACTGACAAATATTCCATATATATAACTGCTTTCGGAAGTGTCAATCCTGGCTAGATTTCATATATTTCATCATGTGACTGGGTCTGTAGCTGACATGCACAGGCCCTGATCCCCAGCACAGTAAGAAACGATATAAAACAAAAGAACGTGCGCTCACCTCTCACTCAGGCCTCGGGGACCCTAGGTACCCTGGCTTACCTCCTGAACTGAGCTTCCTCAGGTCCATGTCTGCATGAGGAGTAAACCGGACTCGTAAAGAGGCTGCAGGAGCCTCCTTCACCCAGGTGGGGACGACACTGCAGGGCGCTCTGTCAGCTGTCCCCGCACGGCAGGAAGCCCACCCTGTCTCTGCACTGCTCCCCTGCAGGACCAAGGCATGCTCCACGTTCCTAGACCTATCTGTGCCTTCGTTCAGAAAGCTCTTCAGATCCTGTGGGCCAAGCTGCTCTTCAGCCATACCCACACTGTCACCTCTGCTTGATTCCAGCACCAAATCCACTGTTCTCTCTCCGTCCTCAGGGAAAATGTGCTGGGTTTCTGTGCTGTCTCTAGACTTCTGGGAGTTTTCTTCTGGGGTTCTGTCTTCAAGGCATTTCAGTTTCTCCTCAGCGCTCTGGCAGTGCTGTGCTTTCCCACACCCTGAGAGCAGGCGCTGGTCACAACTGCCAGCTGTGCCATCAGCCTGGGACGCAGCCTTCGGCTTATGGTGGTTATTCTGCATATTCAAGTCCTCCAAAGGCTCCAAGTTCTGTGGTGAGTCATAGTCAGCAATGTAGGGCTTTATGTCTAGCACAGGCGTGCCATGGATCATGTCAATTCCAGACAGGTATACAGCGCCACCTGAAGGGGAGAAAGATCCTCTTACATGCTTACAGTAGAGAGGGGTACAGGCAAATGGAGGGAGGGATTACCCCCTAAGTCTCTCTCCAAACACCCGCTTGCACTTCATTGAGCCCACTTACACTGTTCTGCCTGGAAACCCACATCTTCACCTGCCAAACTCCTACTCCTCAAGGCTCACACAGAATACGTCACTTACAAATCTTCCTGGCTCTTTCTTCTCGGTCCCACAGAGGCATAAGTGAATAAACCTCCACTCAAGCCTTTTCATACAGAATGGCAATGGCTTACGATGCCTCTGTGCCTTGACAGTGAGCAGGTCCCCGGAGCACAAGCTGGGGTTCACTCATCTTTGCATCACTGCTAGGCACATGCCAGTCTTCAGCATGTCACCAAGACCAATGCATATTTCCGCTGGGGCAAGCAGACTTTAGGAGGCCTGACATGCTCCCCAACTTGGTGCCCATGCCCTGTGTAACCCCTTCTCTGAGTTTAACTTAATCTAAGCCAAAGAATATGGCAAAAGAGTTCTGATACCCTCCAAAGATGATTTCCATATAGGACTCCTTGCTGGCCACAGACTCAACCTGACCAACTCTCCCTGCAGCCCGGTGAAATGTACAAGCACGCTGGGAAAGCCCAGGTGCCAAGCAGCCATAAAATGCCCTAGAAATGTGGACAGCCTTCAGGACCTCAGGGTACCTCCAGTCAACACCAGCATAAAGCTGGGGCCCTCAGTTCTACACCTATAAAGAAATGAACTCTGCAACAACCTCACTGCAGAGATGAGCCAGCAAAAATGAGCTCCAAAAGCTCATATATTTGAATACTAGGTCCCCATCCTGCTGACCCCTTGAAAAATAGCAATGTTTTAAACACATCATCAAGGTGTGCTGCCTAAACAGATACACTTTGGATCATTTTATTACACAAAACTAGAGATATGTCCATGAAGACTCAAAAAAGTCAGCAGGGCACAAGACCCTATAATTAAATATGAAGAGAGGTCTCCAGCTGTCCCACTCAGATAGCTCTTGTCCACTTCCTGCTACTCGTACAGAGTCTCCTACCCTGACTCTTAGAACGTTGACTGAATGAGAACCATATACAGCAGGTGTTCACATTGATTCTGACTCTATTTTAGAAAAACATGATTGCAAGAAGACCCAGATGAAACATGTGATGTGCAAGCCTGGAACTGGGTAAAGATGGCACAGGACTATCTAAATGACAGGTCTCACAGGAGAACCCAAGAGTTCAGAGGAAATTCCCATGCTGCTCGTGGCTCCAGGCTGTATTTGTCCCTGTGCATGACCATTACTTATTATGCTTTTCTCTTATCAACCTGCCTTCTGACACAGGAGTAGGCACATGATCTTTATGAGGGCTATGAAAAGAAGCACTCCTGTCTCCACCCCTCCACTATTCATAATTGATTAGAGCTTGCCCATTCACTTTTCTGATTTCACCTCCGTCAACAGAGAGAGGCTAAGTTCTCTGCAAGCAGGAATTTTCATCTGAGTTAATCACCAATGTATCTCTATCATTATCTAAAAAACAAGATGTGTAGTGGTAGCCTGAATGAGAATGGGCTACAGAAGCTCATCTATTTGAGTATTTAGTCCCCAGTTGGTGGGACTGTTTGGGAAGGATTAGGGGATGTGCCTTGCTGGAGAAGGTGTGTCACTAGGGGTGGGCTCTGAAATTTCAAAAGTCCATGCCTTTCCCAGTTAGCTCTCTCTGCCTCAAGCATTTGGATCAAGATGTAAGCCCTCAGCTACTGCTCTAGCACCATGTCTGCCTGCTGCCATGCTGGTGGTCATGGACTATAATCTTCTGAACAAACACTTCCTCTTATAAGTTGCCTTGGTCATGGTGTCTTACCACAACAATAGGGAAGTAACCAAGACAAGCAGTTTACATGCATGCTCAGAAAATGTTCTAGAGCAATTGTCCAATTTGGTAAGCCATCTTTTTTTTGGGGGGGGGGTTTCAAGACAGGGTTTCTCTGTGTAGCTTTGCGCCTTTCCTGGAACTCACTCTGTAGCCCAGGCTGGCCTCGAACTCACAGAGATCCGCCTGGCTCTATCTCCCAAGTGCTGGGATTAAAGGCGAGCGCCACCACCGCCCAGCTGGTAAGCCATCTCAATAAAGTCAGGTGGGTAAGCAATGACTTTGCTGGAAAGCCTACCATAATTGAGCACAATTCAGCACAGTTTAGATCCCAAAAAGAACAAAACAGCCTCTCGACTATTTAGTCCAGTGTCCTGAAGAGCACTGAAGACCTACTGTGTAAGATCCTCAGCAACAAAAACTCTGTAGAGTCAGAGAGGCAGGCCCTATGCTTCCGCCCCCTTCAGGAGCAAGCGCTCAAGATGCAGCCTGGAATGGGCTCCCTGCTCCTATCTACATGCTGTCATCCTCTGCCTCCCTAACAAAAACTTGGTCTGTTAGTCAAAAGCGAGAAGCTCTCTGAGCTTGGGTAGAACTCAATGGGTAGAGTGCTTGCTATTATGCACAAAGCCCTGGGTTCAACGCCAGCACCACGTAAACTGAGTGTAATCAGTTCTCGGAGATCATAGTTCAAGGTCATCTTCAGCTCTATATGGATTTCAAGGTCAACTTGGATACATGAGACCTTGTATCAAAAACAAAAACAAAACAAAACCAAGAAGCTCTCTGAAAACCTCCAATTAAAAGCAATCCCATCTTCTACAACGGCACTTCACTTCTACAGTCAGACAGACAGACGTTAAAGCCTATAATGTAATATCCCAGGGCACTTAAAACAGCACAGCTGTGTTGGCCTGCACTGCAGTCTCTTTCCTTCAGGCTGCAAAGAAGAAATAACACTACTCTTCTCCTGCTTTCCACATGTGCATGAACAACTGGGCATTACACATCACAATTGAAACTAGTCAGTGAATTTTAATCATCTTGTATTTCCAACATCCCAAGTCTTAAAAACGTTATTACTAATCTAATGATTACAAAATCTACAAGTTTTTAAAGTAGCACTGGTTTTTTATAGCAGAATGATAAAAACAAGCTCTGAGGGCTGGAGAGATGGCTTAGTGGTTAAGAGCACTGACTGCTCTTCCAGAGGACCCTGGTTCAATTCCCAGCACCCACATGGCAGCTCACAACTGTCTGTAACTCCAGTTTCTGAGACCCAACACCCATGGCAAAACACCAATGTACGTGAAATAAAAATAAATAAATTTAAAATTAAAAAAACAAACAAAAGCCGGGCGGTGGTGGCGCACGCCTTTAATCCCAGCACTCGAGAGGCAGAGCCAGGCGGATCTCTGTGAGTTCGAGGCCAACCTGGTCTCCAAAGCGAGTTCCAGGAAAGGCACAAAGCTACACAGAGAAACCCTGTCTCGAAAAAAAAAAAAAAAAAACCAAAAAAAAAAAAATTAAAAAAGTATTTTTGCCGGGCGGTGGTGGCACACGCCTTTAATCCCAGCACTCGGGAGGCAGAGCCAGGAGGATCTCTGTGAGTTCGAGGCCAGCCTGGGCTACCAAGTGAGTCCCAGGAAAGGCGCAAAGCTACACAGAGAAACCCTGTCTCGAAAAACCAAAAAAAAAAAAAAAAAAAAAAACAAACAAAAAAACAAAAAAACCAAGCTCTGAGCACCTTCTAAGAGCTGGTTTTGTAGTGTTCCCAACACTGACACCCTCTCAATCATTGTACATCCCTAAGTGTCTGAGGGCTCTCAAAGGTGACGCCACCAGTGTTGGCATGAACAGCAGCTAACAGTGAATTCTCAGCTGATTTGACAAGACTTTTAGGAGTAAGATAGGAAAGGTCAAAGTTGAAGTGAGTGAGCTATTTCCTCCTTGCCCAGCGTGGCCAGTGTCAGTAAAGTAGAAGTGAGTGAGCTACCTCCTCCTTGCCCATTGTGGCCAGCATTAGTAGAGTACAATGAGTGAGCTACCTTCCACCTTGCCCAGCGTGGCCAGCGTTAGTAGAGTACAATGAGCTACCTTCCACCTTGCCCAGCGTGGCCAGCGTTAGTAGAGTACAATGAGCTACCTTCCACCTTGCCCAGCGTGGCCAGCGTTAGTAGAGTACAATGAGCTACCTTCCACCTTGCCCAGCGTGGCCAGCGTTAGTAGAGTACAATGAGCTACCTTCCACCTTGCCCAGCGTGGCCAGCGTTAGTAGAGTACAATGAGCTACCTTCCACCTTGCCCAGCGTGGCCAGCGTTAGTAGAGTACAATGAGCTACCTTCCACCTTGCCCAGCGTGGCCAGTGTTAGTAGAGTACAATGAGCTACCTTCCACCTTGCCCAGCGTGGCCAGCGTTAGTAGAGTACAATGAGCTACCTTCCACCTTGCCCAGCGTGGCCAGCATTTAGTAGAGTACAATGAGCTACCTTCCACCTTGCCCAGCGTGGCCAGCATTAGTAGAGTACAATGAGTGAGTTACCTTCCACCTTCTCCAGCTTGGCCAGCGTCAGTCCTATCGCATTGGGGCGATGTGGGCTCCTTGTGGAGAACACTCCAGTCTTTGCCCCATTTAGCCTAGGTGGCTGCACTTTTGCCTTGTAGTTCAAATGGCCATTTTTGTGAAAAACAAACAAAATCCTATTGAAAATAAATCAAACCACTTGTTTAAAAAGAGGACAAATTATTTTAGTATAATGATTTGAGAAGGGAATGTAATCTCCCACTAATTAACAGAAAGAATAGTTTTTCTTAAATTATCAGTCATAGAAAATGAGCCCTCCCTCCATCCTTGTGGGAAGAAAGTCATCTCCACATGCTTAGTACTTAACACCAAGACCGGCATACAGCAAGAACTTAAGACTTGTACGTGGCCAAGTGAACACCACTTTGAAGTGCCTGCTGTTTGCCATGTAGTATGCTAACGTTTTCATACCCATTCAGTGCCGTAACAATCCTAGGAGGTATTATTTAGCCCTCACTCTGAGGGTGAAGAAATCGAAGCTCAGAAAAGTTCAACCTGGCAAGGCCTTTCTAAACAGAATATGAAAGCCAGAAACCATGAAGAAAAACAATAACAGGTTTGAATTAATTAAATCATTCAATCTAGGTCTAGGAGATGTTTGCTATACATAGTGGGTTAGCTGATATTTACAATATATAAGTCATTCTTACGTATATCATCAAGTAAAGAACTCAACACAGGACTCAAAGCAAAGAACAAGAATGTGCAACAGCTAACCCTGAGTCTCAATAACAATTCAGAGGACAAACTGAAAACATAACACTGTATTTCTCTACTGGGCAAGGTAAACATGGACGGAAACAGAATTCCTAGTGAGAGCAAGTAGTATCCAAATTTTTAAGGCTTTCTGTCTTTTAGGAAGGGTAAACTGAATTCTTCAAAGGCCTACAATAGAGCCTTTCTCTATAAAAGGTCAGATGGTAAATAGTTTAGGATTTTAGGCCAACCAGTAGCGGTTTAAACTATTCTGCTACCAGAGCAGAATTTTACAGTGGCAGCCACACACAATACATAAGACAATAGCATGCCACTGACGGTATACAGATTCAGATCATGCTACACATCGGGTGCAGCTGTGATCCCATAAGCTAATGTACACAAATAAGCAGTGAACCATATTCGGTCCACAGGCCACAGTTTGCTGAGAGACCAGCATAAAGACCCATGGGCAGAGTCAAGGAGGTCTATGGTTTCAGTTCAACAGAAGGGAGCCATCGCCGGGCGGTGGTGGCGCACGCCTTTAATCCCAGCACTCGGGAGGCAGAGGCAGGCAGATCTCTGTGAGTTCGAGGCCAGCCTGGGCTACAGAGTGAGTTCCAGGACAGGCTCCAAAGCCATCATAATCAGAACAAGTTGAAGTTAAAACATGTTCCCTTAGTGACTCCCAAGATCCTAAAGGTGCCCAAATATGCAAACCACCAAGTGCACAAGCTGAGTATGGGAATCCATACATAATCCATAATCATACAGATAGGGATGGTATAGATGGCAGGCTCCAGAGCTGCCTTCAACTGGCGTACTTTCTCAGGGCCCAATCTACCACTTCTAACTATAAAACAACTTACCAAACATGAGAAAACTGTTCTAGGCCCATCAAGGAATGTTCAGGATTATTAAAGATGCTCTTTCTGATTTTCAAACAGGCTCTGGAGTGGCTACAGATGGATGGCTGCCTTGGAGTACCATTCTTGGCCATGAAACATGATTCTAAGTAGCCTATTGGCTCAGTGAAAAGATTTCCTGTGAAAGAAAATTGGGTAAGATTACTCAAAAGGCCAAAGATGTATTGGTTTCATAGTTCTAAAATCTAGGTACAACACAATTATTAAAAACATTTTGTTTAAATACAGAGTCCTGCTATGTAGCTCAGGTCAGCCTCAAACTCATGAACCTCTAGTATCAGCCCCTTGGGATCACAGCTGTGCACCAGCATACCCATCTTAATTTTTATTTATAATTATATAAATACATAAATTATATTAACATAATAAATGTGTTGATTATATATTGAGGTATAATTTACAATTATAATTTATATTTACAATTACTTCTTTGTATGTTCTTTGAGATGTCCCAGATCTCCATTTTACCTCATTTACATTAAATCTGATTAGCACAACCAGTAAGACTATAAATCTGAGACTGTCTTCTCACAGAACATTTCCTTACTTTTTACTTATAAAAACTCTATTACTTATACAGAGAAAAAATTATATGCAACATGTATGTAAGTTAACGGATAATGTACCAACCAGCCACACCAACCACAGTCCCTAACTGCTTGTACTAACTGCTTGTATCTCTGTAGACTGCTTCCAGGAGCTGCAATCTGTGCTTTATCATCATCTGTTTCCTTCCAGAAGATGATCTTATCATATGTACTTCTGAGCCTAAACAATACTTCTTTTACTCTGAATTCTGTAAAAAACAGACATCACACTGTAAATTATCTTCCTAGACTGGCTTTCTCTGTCCCTCTATATTGTGTATGTTTCTGACAACTTTCAAGTTTTTTTTCCAAGAGTATTTTTGGGTACTGCTGTGTTATTTTTGCTTGTTTGGGGTGCTTGTTGGGGTTTTTGTTGTTTTTAAGTCCTCGTCCATGCTCCTGTGGAAGAGGATTAAAGACGAAGAAACTGCCAAATGCCAAATGCCAGCATCAGCCACATACATCCTAGCTCTCTGTATCTCCCTAAGGAAAAAGATCATAAAACACACATGGTCGACCCAGCGAGCTACTGTGTTGGGACTAAGGCCAGGCCACACCCCGTAAGGAACATAATACGTCACTCTCGTTGGGCCTGGGCGTGTCACGTGATCGCGGGGACACGTGACCCTAACTTTGGCGGCAAGGACAAGAACGCCCGACAGGCAGTTCGCGTTCTTCTCGGTGAGGAAGCCAGCCGCTTAACGTGATGCTGCCCCGGGCGCGGCGCCTCCGGTTTCCTATAGTTTACCTGTCTCCAGGGCCGGCTGAGCGCACCCGCACGGGGCTGCTGTGCAGCTGGAACCCCGCTCCGCCAAGCCGCGCATGGCTGCGGGCCGCTGAGTCGTCCACACGCCGTGCGCAGCTTTCTGTTTCCGCTTCCGCCCTGCAGGCTTGGGCGCCTGCGCAGTAGTCGCTCGGTGCCGGGTCTCGGAGAACGCCGGCAATGGCGGCCCGGTTGCCGCGTGGAGGGCTGAGTTGGGCGCGGAGAAGCTGTGCGTGCGGCCCCCCTTCCACCCGTTATGCGGCTCTGGCGCTCTTGGGAAAGCCTGCAGTGTGCCCTCCGAAGATGGGACACGTGGGTAAAGATGTCCACGCAAAGATACCCTTGAATTATAAACGGCCTCCGTGACCAAAGAATGACCCAGTTTCAAAGGGAAATGATGTGAATATCTGTGATCACATAGCAAAAGAACTGGAGTTTAGGGTGCTTTTTTTTTTTTTTTTTTTTTTACATTCATGTGTGCGTGGGAGCGTGTGGAAGTCAGATGACAGTGCGGGAGCCGGTTCTCCCCTTTCACCGCGTGGCTCGTCAGTGTTAGCGGGTTCCTTTACCCCCTGAGCTAGAGAACGGAGGTTAAATGTTTAAAATTCTGCTTGGGCGTGGGGTATGGGTTATATTTACCACGCTGCTCCACTTTTTCAGCAATAACTATTTGTTGAATAAGAAGCCCAAGTAAATCAAGAGTGGTGCATGTTACAGCCAACCTTGTGAACGTTTCTTGAGCGCCAAACCACAGGAACCAAAATGAGAGTAAAGAACCAGCACATACATTGGAAAGCTGGGATTTCAAAATCTCGTGGGTTTAGAAGGAGGTGGGATGGGGAATCCACCACACATTACCTGTTACATAAAATATTAAAAATACGCAAGTCCGAAGATTAAAGGTTTAGCCATGAAAAACTGTTTCTTCTAAGTTCATTGTAACTGACTAGCAAGTCACTAGTAGGAAATAACCAATATTAAGAGGCAGGTTTTTAAGAAGAAATTGTGAATCTTTTAAAAGTTAAAACTGATACTGTGTCCTCTATAAGGAGTTTTGTAAATGAAATTAGCAAAATGCTTTTTTTCCAATTTTCTTTTTGGGGGTACTGGTCTTGTCTAGCTGGAGAAACAAGTTTTGAGTACCCTTGGGCAACATCTGCGGGCTTTTAAAAAGAGCTGAATAAGCTGCAACTGCCACTAGTCGGCGCTGTTAACACCATAGTCAAAACTGAAAAGTGAAAGGTATTTGTTCTCCAGAAAGACATGCTAGTCACTTGATAATCATACCAAAAGTGTGTAATTGCCAACTGTGCCAACTACTGAAACTCAAAGTAGACTTGGAGACACTAGACCTAGGAATCTGCCTTTAAAAACAATAGGGGGAGGGGGCGCTGGAGTGATGGTTCAGCAGTTAAAGCACCAGCTGCTATTCCAGAGGATCCAGGTTTGATTCCCAGCACCCATGTGGCAGCTCACAACCGGCAGTAACTCCACTTCCACGGGATCTGATCCCCTCTCCTGGCCTCCACAGGCACCTGCACACATGTGCACACATATATACACACACACACAAAATTAAAAGCTGGGCATGGTGGCTTGTGCCTTTAATCCCAGCACTGGGGAGGCAGAGGCAGGCTGATCTCTGTGATTTGGAGGCCAGCCAGGGCCACACACACACAATTTTTTTTAAGTCTTCAGATGTAGTTCCAACATGCCCAGACTCCTTGCTGCCACAGAAGAGGACAGCACAAAGTGGAGCTAAGGTGGATTCTTGGGGAATTATAATTCATGATCTCAAAGCTCTAAACCAACAAGAAAACAGGAATAATTCGATGCACACTGGTGCCTGGGTGTAATTAAGAAAGTAGCATGGATTTATAGGGAATGGTGAAGGAAACAGGACAAGGGACAAGGGAGATGGCCCAGTGGATACAGTACTTGCCATGCAAGTAAGGGAATAGAGTTTGGGTTGCCAGCACCCATGTAAATGCTGGGTAGGTATAGTGGTCTGCAGAAGGTAGAGACAAGTAATCCCTGGAATAATCTGGCTAGCTCAAGCATCAACTCTGGGGTCAAGTGAGACCCTGCCTGAATATACAAGATGGAGAGCAATTGAGGAAGACAGACATCAATATATGGTCTCACATGCATGTGCATATGTGGGCACCCATGAACCCACACACTTTCACTAGGTCCCAAGAACACATTTACACAGACATATTTTTTTAAAGCAGACTGGGGATGTAGCTCAGTTGGAAGAGTGTTTGCCTAGTATGTGCAAAGTCCTTGGCTCAAGCCCTCACATTGCATAAAGCCAAGTGTGGTGACACATGCTTATAAGGTGAGTTTCAGGCCAGCCTGGACTCTGTAAGACCCTGTCTTCAAAAAGACAAACGATAAAGAAAAGAAAAACCTGAGTAGTTAAGAGCACTTGTTGCTCTTGCAGAGGATCTGGGTTCGATCCCCAACACCCACATGGACAGACATAACTCCCTATATCTGTAGTTCTAAGGGATCGGATGCTGTCTCCTGACTTCTGTGGGCACCAGGCATGCTATGGTGCACAGATGTACATGCAGGAAACATACACATAAAAAAATTGACTGTTTAAAACCTTAGAGTGGGGTTGGGGATTTAGCTCAGTGGCAGAGCACTTGCCTAGCAAGCGCAAGGTCCTGGGTTTGGTCCTCAGCTCTGGAAAAAAAAAAAAAAAAAAACCTTAGAGCATAGGCCATTCAAAAAACAAGTGTATCTATGCCTAGATGTCACCTCAAGTAGAACCCTGGAGTAGAGTCCTGAGCACCTATATTCTTGAAGGCTCCTCTGATGGTTCTCATGTACCATGAGTGCTCTGTGCCACCCATTGTAAGGGGTGGGGCTTGCCTTTTTGATACAGCCTCAGAACCTAGCACATGGTCTTACTGAGTGAGCTTTTATTTGCCAAAGTTTGTCTTATTTTTAGCCTCCAATGATAGCCCAAGGAAAAATCCAAACCAACTGGATACCAGGGAATATTTTCAAATATTTTCCCAGAATTGTTTGTGTCCCTGCCCCGGTCTCCTGTCATTTTTAGTTCACTCTGACCATTGTCACCAGATGACTCCTGAAATACAAAACCTTCAACTTCATTGTAAAGCCTTACTCCTCAGTTATCTAATAAATGATTAAGTCATTTACGTCTACAAGACTACACCCCGGCCTGGAGACATGGCTCAGCCGGTTAAGACTACTTTCTGGCCGGGCGGTGGTGGCGCACGCCTTTAATCCCAGCACTCGGGAGGCAGAGCCAGGCGGACCTCTGTGAGTTCGAGGCCAGCCTGGACTACCAAGTGAGTTCCAGGAAAGGCGCAAAGCTACACAGAGAAACCCTGTCTCGAAAAACAAAAACAAAAAACAAAAAACAAAAAAAAAAAAAAAAAGACTACTTTCTGTGGCCACGTGTAGTGGTGTATGCTTTAGATCCCAGCACTCAGGCAGAGGCAAGCAGATCTCTATGAGTCTGAAGCCAGCATAGTCTATATGGCTTGTTCCAGGGCATTTTGGAGCTATACAGTGAGACTGTCAAAAGAAAGAATAAATACACTGCTCTCCAAGAGGACCCAGGTTTGCAGGGTTGCTTCCTAGTACCCATGTTGGATGTCTCACAATCTCCTATAACTCCAGGTCCGGTGGCTCTCTACACTCCAATAATAGATTCGCTGCCTCATGACAGATCTTAACATGTAAATATGGACCCGACATTGACTCAGTTAGCATACAGTTCTCTTGACCTTGAACTAGTCTGGGTGTCCTGTGCAGATACTTCCCATCCTTCAAGTCTCCACATCAGGATAGATGAGCGCTCCTCCCATTACATGTACTATGCATATGGCAGCAGCACTGTTCCCTTTGGGGGAGGTTATTAAGGATATTTAATATAGATTTTAAGTATGAGGGTTAAGAGAGAGGCCCTCTCATAGGAAGGAAAACACCCCTGAGAGCCAGGGCATAGGCTCCTCGGAGAGGAAGCTGCTGCACTCGCTGCTTACGTTTGGAATGATTTGTTTCCCAATGAGACCAGGTTAAACCCTAGTGAACAAAGATGGTTTCAGTGTTTTTACCACCCCACCCCACCCCAGAACATAGCAAGATGCTGTCTTGGTAACAAGCTTAGCCCATAGTAATGATTTCATGTACATTTTTCACAAATACAGTTTAAAAAAATAGAAATAAAAGGTCCAGATTCGCACACAGAAGTAAATGACATTTATCAATCCCAAAATATTTTGCAAGAAGTTCCAGAGTAAGAATTGTTCAGATTAGCTCAGAGAGCCTTGTAAAGCTTGAATAAAATTCTGATATTACAACATCAATAATTGACAAAATTCACAAGAAACTATATACTTTCAAAATATTAAGTGTTCCTATCAAAATGCTATCTTCTCAGAATTACCAAATATATGTTTCTTCTTAGAGGGGAAAAACCAACTACTCACCCCTTCCCCTGCTCTTATTCATCCCTCCCTCTACTGTCTCCCCCCATATACATATGTACATCCTCAAACAGCACGCGCGCGCGCGCGCACACACACACACACACACACACACACACACACACACACACACACACACACCACTATTGTGTATGTGTTAGAGCCTTTAAAAGTTAGTTCTCTCTTTCAGATAAGATCTATATGGAAAAAAACACCAGCTAAAATAGTAATGCAAATTGTAGCAATTGCTACAATGTTTCAGGAAAATCATACAAGAGAAGATGTGTATGCTCTGTTCATTTGGACTGCAACTTCATCGCTGAGTCGTGTTAAAACAGAACATAGCTATACGTGTCATCTTCTCGACAGATCTCTTGAGGACCCTGTGGACTTGATGGTGTTTCTGCATCTTGATTTACTTTGGCTTTTTCCTTCAATTCTGTAAAATCAAATAAAACACAAAACAGATTCAATAAACAATATTGGCACAGTTGGTTACTCACTTGGGAGAGGGAAGCCATGCCACAGACCACGCACACACATTTTAGCTGGGTTAGATACTTAGATATTAAAATGCCATGTCACAGAAATGGTGTTTCTATACTCTTGGAATTTTCTTTTTAAGTTTTTTGAACAGGGTTTCTCTTGTGTAGTCCTGGTTGTCTTGGAACTCACTTTGTAGACCAGGCTGGCCTCGAACTCCAAGAGATCTGCCTGCCTCTGCCTCCCAAGTGCTGGGATTAAAGGTGTGTGCCACCACCGCCCAGTGGGATTCTTTTTTATAGAGAGCAACATGTGCTGTTTTTTAAAGATTTATTTTTATGTGTGTTTGTGTGCTATGTTCATTTGTGTGCACCAGGTGTGTGCAGGAGCCTTTGGAGGCTAGTAAAGGGCATTAGATCTCCTGGAGTTAGAATTACAGGCAGTTGTAAGCCACCAAATGGGTGCTGGAAGCCAAACTTGAGTCTTCTGCAAGAACAGTACATGCTCTTAACCACTAAGCCCTCTCTCCTCCAGTCCAAGGTGGGTTTTGTTTGCTTGTTTTGTTTTTGGAGACAGAGTCTCATTATGTAGCCCCAGTTGTATGGAACTCACAATGTCGGCTGACCTGGAACTCACAGAGATCTGCCTGCCTCTGCCTCCTCAGTGCCAGGATCCCTCCCCGTGATCTTTTTTAGGGCTGGAGAAATGACCAAGTGCTTAAAAGCACTTGCTGCTCTTCCAGAGGACCAGCATTTGGTTTCAAGCAATAAAACCAACCAGCACAGCTACATAGTGAATACTAGCTCAAAAGCCAAAACAGAGCATTTTTACACATAATTAATCCTATTTCAGATTTGTTTCTCTTACTGTAATTTCTCAAAATGGGTAAATAGAATTTTCAGTTATCTACGTTTTTTGGAAATGTGCTAACAGAATGTTGGTCGCCTGAAAAAGACATTGTACTTGAAAGGAGCCAGTGCTGTTCATGGCTCCCGTTGAGGTAACTGGTTACTGTCAAAGACAGCTTTAAATCACGAATTCTGAGGGAGTGGTTGCTATACAAATACCCTACCTTGAGAGAAAGCACAAGCGCCCTCACTGTCCTGGTGGGCGTTAGGGTCCTGTCCTTGGGCCCCACCTGCTTCCTGGGTGTGTTCTGGAAGGCGGTCCTTAGGCCCATCCCTGTTCTCACAGGTCTTGATGGAGAGGTCTTCAGGCCCAGGCATTTCATGGCAGGTTTCAGGGGAGTAGTACTCAAGCCCAGACATTGGTTGACATGTTTCCAGTGAATGGTCTTCAGGCCCAGGTGAGTCTTGGATTGTTTTATGAGAGGAGACTGTAGGCTCAGTGGGTTTGTAGGTCTCATGAAAAATGAATTCAGGTTCAACTGCTTCTTGGTGTGTTTTTGAAGAAATGTCTTCAGACACGGCGCATTCTCGTGTTTCAGAGAAGCAGTCTTCAGTCACAGCCATTGCCTGATCTGCTTGGGAAGTTTTCTCTGGGGTGACTGATTTGGGGCATGTATCAAGTGGACAGCCTTCAGGCACATCTGTCTGGAGGAGTGCTTCAGGAGAGCATCTTTCTGGGCCAGCAGCATCTCCAAGTGTTGTCCAGGGAACAACAGCCATCTCTTGGCGTGTTTTAGGGGAGACGACTTCAGGTCTGGTCACATCTTGGCACATGTTCAATGTATGCTCTCGAAGCACAGCTGGTATTTGGCACATTTTAGGAGAGAGCACCTCGGGTCCAGCCGTATCTTGGGGTACTTTGGAAGAAAGGTTTTGGGGCACAGCTGTTTCCTGGAACATTTTAGGAGAGAGTGCCTCGGGTCCAGCCATATCTTGGGGTACTTTGGAAGAAAGGTTTTGGGGCACAGCTGTTTCCTGGAACATTTTAGAAGAGTGCGCCTCGGGTCCAGCCATATCTTGGGGTACTTTGAAAGAAAGGTTTTGGGGCACAGTTGTTTCCTGGAACATTTTAGAAGAAAGCACCTTGGGTCCAGCCATATCTTGGGGTACTTTGGAAGAATAGTTTTGGGGCACAGCTTTTTCCTGGAACATTTTAGAAGAGAGCACCTCGGGTCCAGCCATATCTTGGGGTGCTTTGGAAGAATGGTTTTGGGCAAGCACAGCTGTTTCCTGGCACATTTTAGGAGAGAGTGCCTCGGGTCCAGCCATATCTTGGGGTACTTTGGAAGAATGGTTTGGGGACACAGCTGTTTCCTGGCACATTTCAGGAGAAGGCACCTCAGGTTCATCCGTGTCTGGGCACATTTTAAAAGAATATTGAAGTACAGCTCTTTCTGGGCACGTGTTAGGAGAGAGGTCTTCAGGTTTGGCCCTATGTTTGTGTGCTTGAGAATGGTTCTGTATTGCTAGATCCTGGCACTGAACGCTTTGTTGGTGTGCTTCAGAACAGTGTTCTGCAGGCACAGCTTTTGGGGGGCATGCCACCGATGGGAGGGCTTCAGTCACAGGGTTTACAGGGTGCTCGGTTTCTTCCTCAGCAGGTTCCATTGCTTTCTGCATCCTTGGATTCTCTGTTTGTGACAGAGGCTGTGCCCTCGTCCCTGTGCCCCCCTGTCTCTTCGGGCCTCTTGGGTTTCCTTTTCCTGTTCTTTGACACTTGCGTTTTTTCTGTTCTCTGCAGAGAGACCAGAATTAATGTCAGCAACAGGGCTGCAGGGTCCAAATGAATGCTTCCAATATCCACCCCTGTCCTTGTAGCCCTGTTTCATGATCTTAAACAAGCCCTTACTCTCCCCAGACCTAGGTGTTCAACTACTAAGAAAGTGTTCCTGTAGGACTTTATGGTTTTAAAGTTAAAGTGTGGTGTGTGTGTTTGTGTGTGTGTGTGTGTGTGTGTGTGTGTGTGTGTGTGTGTGTGTGTGTTGTGGTGTGTGGTGTGTGGTGTGTGTGTGCATGTGCATTGTGTAATGCGGGGAGGGGAAGAGAGAGAGAGCACGTTTGGGGAGATAGTAGTTCCCAGGGTAAAGGGCTTAACCGAGTTCTAGCTTCAGCACCCAGGTGAAAATACAGAGTATGTGGTGCCATGAGTTTGTAATCTCAGAACTGGAGAGGCAGAGATCCCTGGACCTTCCTGACCAGCTAATTGAACCCAATTGATAAACTCCAGGCCAATGAGAGACCCTGTCTCAAAGGAGGTGCATGGTGTTCCTGAAGATGACACTTGAGGTTATCTTCTGGCTAGCTCATACACACACACACACACACACACACACACACACACACACACACACACATGTACCTGCACATACACATACATTAATAAGAAGAAGGGCATGTGTTAACCCAACCTAAGACTGTATAAAAAAGCCTGTGGAAACTCACTGCTTGGCAAGCTAATTAAAATTTTAATTAGGACTAAGGAGATGGCTCAGCACTTATTGCCAAGCCTGATGACCTGAATTCATTCCCAGGATCCATATGGTGGGAGGAGAGAACTGACTCCCACAAGTTGTCCTCTGACTTCTACATCGTGGATGCACCCACACACTCACGTACTAAATACATAAAATATAACTTAAAATATAACTTTAAAAAATAGAGTTTGGATGGAGAGATAGCTTAACAGTTAAAAAGTACTACTTTTTCCAAGTACTCAAATTCAGTTCCCAACATCCACATGGGGCAACTTACAACTGCCTATAATGCCAGCTCCAGGGGGATCCCATGTACCTCTGGTCTCTGGGCGCACCTGCACTCATGTGCACACACACACACACACACACAAATTTTTAAAATAATAATAAATCTTTAAAATACAAAACAAAGCCAGTGATAAGGCTCAGTGGGTAAAGGAACTTGCCACCAAGCCTGATTCATCACTGGGACCCTTATGGTGGACATAAAGAACCAACTACTGAAAGTTGTACTCTGATTCTCTCTCTAATAAATTCTCTCTCTCTCTAATAAATCATCATCATCATCATCTTCCAGGCCAGAGAGATGGTTCAGTGGTTAAGAGTATGTCTATACATGCAAACAAAACACTCATTCAGATAAAATAAAATGTAAAATAATAATTTAAAATTTATTTTAAAAATGCAAAAATACCCAAGTGGCCTAAAGCTTAGTCCATGCTCCCTCATAACTAGGGCAAGTCATTCAACCTCTCCATTTCTTGGCTTCCTTATAGGTAAGATGAGACAAATAACACCTTCCTGTTTTGTGTGGTGGCTATAAGAATTACATACAGGGGCTGGAGAGATGGCTCAGAGGTTAAGAGCACAGGCTGCTCTTCCAGAGGTCCTGAGTTCAATTCCCAGCACCCACATGGTGGCTCACAACCATCTGTAATGAGATCTGATACTCTCTTCTGGCCTGCAGGAATACATGCAGGCAGAACACTGTATGCATAATAAATAAATAAATCTTAAAAAAAAAAAAAAAAAAAAAAAAAGAATTACATACAACTTAGGTGAATGAATCACAAAGACAGTATAAAGTAGAACTATGGTATTACTGTAAGAGCCTTCTCTAGTCTTTCCTAAGTCTCAGGCACTGTTGTGATTTACTTCTGTTACTTCAGGCTATGAGGTAGATGCTATTATCTCCATTGTGCAGAGGACAAAATTGAGGTGTGCTGGGATGTTCCATAAACTGCCCATGGTCAATGACTAGGAAGTTGGGGGCGTTAGGCTGGTCATCTTTGCTTATCAGCTGGGGCTTGCCCACCTGCCCTCTAATTTTAGTGTGCGTGGATGCTTTGCCTGCATGTACATCAATACCACATGGGTTTTGGGAGCGATGCTCCTGACTGCTGAGCTGTCTCTCCAGGCCCTGGTTTTTGTGTGTCAGTATGTGTTCTCACTAAGCCCTGTGAGGCCTAGAACTCATAACTTCCGACCACCACTCTATTGAGTGCTGAGATTACTCGTATGCACTACCAAGTCAGGCCTTAGGCACCTTTTTTAACACCAACAAAACCAATAAAGGGTAGCAGGAGCTACCCTGCATGGTCCAGCTTCAGTGGCTGGAACCTGCCTCAGGGGATGGTAGAAACAACAGAGAAAGAAAGCAGGGGAAAGTTCTGTTGTCATGACTACCGCTGAGACATTAGGCAAGAGAGTTAACCCATTGGAGACTACTTTAAAAACAAACAAACAAAAATAAAAATTTAAGCACACGAGCGCAACACCACCTGACTTAGAGGATACTTGGGAAGGTGGTGTGGGCATGGGCATGGCATGACATGTAACATCTACACCCATCCCTCTCCCGGGTAAAGAACCTACCCAAAGTTCCATTGTGACGTCTGCTTCTCCTGTGCTTCAGCTTTTCTCTTCCTGAGTTGTTCTCTGTTTCTCAAACTCCAGGTTCCAATGACATCTGCCAGGTGAAAAGGAAAGTTACTGGGGAGCGTGACAGTGACTGGGGGGTGCCTCAGCAAGTATCCCACCACAGAAGTTTTATTTATCTAGTTATCACTTATAAATCTTGTTATTTCATGTGTATAGTGTTTTGTCTGCGTGTATGTCTGTGCATCACATGTATGCCTGGTGCCTAAGGGGGCCAAAAGAGGGCATCAGATACCTTGGACCTGGAGTTAGAGACAGTTAAGAACCACTATGTGGATGCAGGGAATTGAACCCAGGTCCTCTGAAGATCAGCAAGTGCTCTTAACCGCTGAGCCATTTTTCCAGTCCCTACAGAATTTTAGACCCCCTCTCCTGAGTTTTGCCCTTGTTTTTTGAGGTCAAAGACCATCTCCTCCTTATTCTTCCACCTTCAGAAAATGTGGAGGAGATTTTTTTTTTCTTGAGACAGAGTCTCACACTGTAGTCCTGGCCTGGCACTTGCTGTGTAGAGCAGGCTGGCCTCAGACTCACAGAGATCCACCTGTCTCTGTGCCTGGAGTGCTGGGATTAGAGGTATGTGGTAATACACCCAGTGTAGCAGACCTTTAGTGAGCATTTGAGTGTGAAAAGCTTTGAGACCTACACAGATGATACTACTGTTCATAAGTGTGCTGTTGACCTACTGACTTATTCAAAATAAATTTATATTTGTACAAATAATAAAAAAATAGATCATGTTCGGTCATCTTTGTCATAGTAACCTGTTTTCATTGTATTCCCTATTTCCATCCAGGCCATATATTATACAAAGTAGTTAAGATAGCACATTCTATCTTTTATTAACCTAACTTAGATAAAAAATAGTTCCTTGACACAGCCTTCAACACTATAATTTTCCAGTGACATGGTACTGAAGCTAGTTGATATGTTCTCTAGGCACTTGAAAGAAAAAGACACTTGATGTCAACCTCTGGCCTACACACACACACACACACACACACACACACACACACACACACACATAGGTCCACATACATGCAAATATGCATCATACACACAAAGTGTGCAAGAAAAAAATTTTAAGAGGTCTATGGCCACCTAAATTTGAGAAAAACTAGTAGATCTTTGAGACTGCCCCTCTCAGCCTGTGGGGGTGTCCAGTCTGCACGGGAACTCCAAGAAAGGAAATGCCCTTGGACGAGGGCACTTTTTGTTCTTAGGACAAGAATTCTTTATTCTTTCTTTCTTTTGTTCATTCTTTCCTTCTTTCTTTTTCTCTTTCTTCTTTCTTTCTTTTTTTTTTCTGGTAGTGCTGGGAATTGAGCCTAGGGCCTCACACATGCTAGGCAAGCATTATGCTACTGAGCTTTGTTCCCTGTCCAGGGATTCTTGATGAGGAAAAATCATATTTTTACCAACTTCTAATTAAATTTACATTTTCCTTCAAAGTGTGAATGTAAGTAAAAGCCACAATGGTCTTAGCAGTGTGGCACTTTATCACTCAAATAAATTACAGAATTTTTTCCTATATGACATTACAATTCTTGCACATAGCTTCAGTGATCACTTGTGGATATGGGTCTGTTGGATTTGATACTATGTTTATACTGTATCACATGACTTAATGCATCTATAAATAAGCACATACATTGCTGTATCACAATTTTAACAATCTTAATAGCTATCTTAATACAATGATGACCTTTGTAATCACATGTATTTAATATTTTTTTTATTTCAAGAAAAGATATATAGATTCATCAGAAGCTAAAAGTTTTCACACTGTGCCCTAGGGTATCTCAGAGCCCAGGGTTCCACAAAACATTTTGAGAAATGCTGCTCTAGAACAGACCTTAAGATAAATTAGAAGCCAAAAGAGTGAGCATCAGACAGATCAGGCCCTGGTGGAGCTCCTGTTACCACATCCTTCCAGATGTCCTGGCGGCTTGCTTTGCCGCAGAACAGGAGTGTCCTGGATATTTTCGCTCTCTTTCATTGAAGAGACTTTCTCACTAACAGTTTGTTTACGGCCCCTGGGTTCTTAGCACCAAAATGCAGCTCATCGGTTAAGTCCATCTTCCCCCGGACGTACCCCACTGCTACTTTCTATCCGACCCATACCCAGTCAATAAAAGAGGAAAATGATGTGTCCCCCGCAGCCACAACCTCCAAAGGTCTGTCAGTACCTGGAGCATGGGCTCTCCGTGGATGAGGTTCAGGTGTCTGGAGGAACTTCAGAGGAGATCCATCCTTTCCCACGTCCATTTTGCCACAGCGCCTTCTTGGTATTCTCTCTGACTTCACAAGCACCCTAAAAGCTTTTTTTAAATGTCAAAACTAACACTTAAAAAAACATACACACAAGTTTGCTTGTCACTTCCCGCCTAAAAGTTTTATCTGGTTAGACCACAACTGTGGGCAAATTCCACTTTCTTTATCACACTGCACAGGTGTGAGGGGGAAATGGCTGGTGCTGGCCCTGTCATCCTGCAAGCCTGATATTTCTATAGGGAACCCCTCTGACACAGTCTGGCATGTGCAGCCTCCCGCCCAGCATGTGGCTCCTTGTGCCAGCATGTGCCTGGGTTCCTTTTAAGGCACCAAATGACTGGGGGCTGTGCACTCCAGGCTGTGGCCAGAGGGATTTTTTTTTTTTTTTTAATGAATGGAGATGGCCAAGTACAGAAAGAACCCTGGGTCTAGGTTCTGACCAACTCAGTGGCCCAGAGCAACCCACAGCTCTTTCCTACGCCTCTATTTGCAGAGTGAGTAAATAGTCACTCTCTTGCCTATTTCATACATTTCTTATGACAGTGAAGATTATGGAGTTAACTATTGATTAATCTTCCTGGGTGTGGCTCTTTTCACCATAACCTATTGCAAACGATTAGCAAGCCTTGCAAAATTAAAATTTTAATTACCTTTTAATTTTTTGAATTTTTCATGTATAGGATTAAAGGTCTCAATATAATTTTGAAAATTATATGTTTTATGATCTAGAGCAGAATTTTGAATGTTATAAGGTTTTTTGTTTGTTTGTTTATTTGTTTGTTTTAGACAAGGTCTCTCTACACAGCCCTGGTTGTCCTGGAACTCAGTATGTAGACCAGGCTGGCCTATAACTTAGAGTTCTGCCTGCCTCTGCCTCCTGAGTGCTGGGATTAAAGTCATGTGCCACCATGCCTGGCACTAGAATGTTTTAATTCTTATAGTTGGGTGATAGTTCAATATAACAGTGTTATAGAATCCTTCTGAGAACACCTTCAGAGGATGGCAGAGGTACTTCTAAATCAGATTTTCTCCAGAACTCTTGGCACCTGTTCAGGAATGGAGCGGACTAGACAGGATGTCCATTCTGTGCTCCCTTCTGAGCACAATCGTCAGGCCACAGAAGTGGGCAATAGAGTCCCTGAACTCTGAGTACTCCAAAGGGACAGAGGACATGCTTTTGGTTTTAAAGTCAGAGTTTAACGTATCCCAGGATGAGTTTTGAACATCTGATCTTTCTGTCTCCATCTCCCAAGTGCCAGGAGGACTGGAATTACAGCTGAGCATCACCAGGCCCTTTTGGTGCTGAAACGGAACCCAGGACTTCATGAATGCCAGGCAAGTACTCTACCAGCTGAGCCATATTGCCAGCCCAAGGACACACATCTTTTGTTGTTGTTGTTGTTAAGGGCACACATCTTTATTGGAAGGAAATAGAACTTAGATCCTTTGTGCCCCATGATGACTCCCCAAGACCATTCTCTGCCTCTGCCCCACTTTCCTTGTATCTAGAATGGTGTGAAGAGACCTCCAGAGGGTGGGGTCTCAAGTTAACAACCTGAGGTGATGCTGGGCGGGGGAGACCAATGGAGACACTTTGGAGGGAACTAGATTGGAAGCCAGGCAAGGTGTCTCTGGTGTGATAAGCAGTCAAGAGCGGGAAATTGGGACAGAAATAACCACACTGTTATTTTGCAAGCCTAACTTATGGTCCCTCCATCTCTAGAAAAGTCTAGCTTTATTCCCAGAATGTGAGAGGCTAAGCATTCTACCTATAAGGCCAGATCTTTTTTTTTTTTTCATTTTTCTTTATTAAGAAATTTTCTACTCATTCCACATACTATCCGCAGATCCCCCCTCCTCCCTCCTCCCACCCCCCAGCCCTCTTTCCCAAGCCACCCCGCATCCCTACATCTCCCAAATCAAGGTCTCCCATGGGGAGTCAGCAGGGCCCAGCACACTGAGCCTAGCTAGGCAGGTCCAAGCCCCTTCCCACTGCACCAAGGCCGTGCAAGGCATCTCACCATAGGCACCGGATTCCCAGAAGCCTGCCCATAGACCAAGGACAGATCCTGATCCCCCTAAGGCCAGATCTTTTTAACGAAAGCTGCATTAGTCTACAGATATGGGCATATGTACATAACCTCCCTCTAGGCCACAAACTCTTGGCAGGATAGGAAGGTACCAGTCTTGAGTCAACTGGCCCCATCTTGAAGGAGGCTCGGTCCCAGTCATCTCTGTAAGCGCCCACACGGCTGTGTGTGGGGACAGCTTCCTGGAACGAGGGGCGGCTTGTCTGCTGTGATTTCCTTACAACAATGCTATGAGCCATTCTAGAATTCTTTCTACTATCATTCACCCGATGCCCAGCTTTCAGGAAGCTAAAGGAGGCTCGGGAGCGTAAGGCCACCCTGAGCCACTAGCAAGACCTATTTAAAATTAAAAAAGAAAGTTCCTGACATTATCTAGTTTTCAGTTTTTGTCTTGTTGTGTTTTGTTTCTTTGTTTGTGTTTGTTTATTTTTGGCTTTTTGAGACAGGGTTTCTCTGTGTAGTCTTGGCTGTCCTGGAACTCTCTCTGTAGACCAGGCTAGCCTATAACTCAGAGATCTGCCTGCCTCTGCCTCCTGAGTGCTAGGATTAAAGGCGTGTGCCACCACTGCCCAGCATAGTTTACAGTTTTTATTTGTTTGTTTGTTTGTTTGTTTTTTGGAGACAGGGTTTCTCTGTGTAGCTTTGCGCCTTTCCTGGAACTCACTCTGTAGTCCAGACTGGCCTCGAACTCACAGAGATCCGCCTGCCTCTGCCTCCCGAGTGCTGGGATTAAAGGCGTGCGCCACCACTGCCCGGCTAGTTTACAGTTTCTAAAAGAGGAACAGAAAGCAAGTAATATCAGTGTATCCAAAGACACAAATTGCCAGGAATGCAGGGATAAGAATAAAGAAATGGGGTTGGACAGTGGTGGCGCACGTCTCTAATCTCAGCACTCAGGAGGCAGAGCCAGGTGGATCTCTGAGTTCGAGGCCAGCCTGATCTATAGAGCGAGATCCAGGACAAGCACCAAAACCACACAGAAAAACCCTGTCTCAAAAAAAAAAAAAAAAAAAAAAACCCGGGGGGCAGGACGGGGGGAGAACAAGGGAATCCGTGGCTGATATGTAGAACTAAATTATATTGTAAAATAAAATAAAATTAAATTTAAAAAACCCTAATAATAATAATAATAAATAAATAAATAATAAAGGAATGGGGGCCCAGCAGTAATGATGTAGTAGATCTAGACCAGGGGTCTTGAACCAGACCAGTGACTCTTTGTGATGAACGCCTGCATGTAAAAACATATGGATACAGGGGTTTTCTGTGTGACTCACTGTGTCACACTGTAGCTTCCATGATGAGGTTTCCCTTTCTCCCTTTCTTTTTTCCTTTTTTCTTTAAATTTTATTTTGTTTTATTCTGGGAGAGAGGGTGATGGGTGGGATCAGGAGGCACGATATGAAAGACAACGAATAAATAAAAGAAAGTTTAAAAGAAGAATGAAGGGTCAGAGGTGGCTGCTGGTGACTGCTGTCTTTAAGTAATGTGGGAGCATGAGGCTTGACTTGAGAGGAGAAGAAGAACCAGGGTGCTGACAGTGTGGAGGCCTCCCAGGAAGAGGACCTGAGGAGAGAGGGACAAGGAGAAGGCTCAGAGGGGACCTACTGGGATGGGCAGCCATGGATGGTCTAATACAATTTGACTCCTGGCTCTAAAGGATGGTTCTGGTTCCTGTGTGGGCCGGGGAGAAGGTGAAGCAGGGAGAGCAGTCAGAAGAGCATTTCCATGATCCACGTGAGAGCTGATGGAGCTTGAACTTCAACGGTGGTGGTGAAGCAGCGGTCAGAAACACACACGGTGGCCATGTTCGTTTACAAATGGGAGGTGGGTTGAAAAGCCAAAGACAAGGGTTTGGGTCTGAACAGCTGGGAGGATGGAGTCGTCATTGCCGGGAGGGGAAGATGTGGGGAAGATGAGCAGTATAATATGAATGTGCTGCCCCAGAGGGAGAGCACAGCCCGCGGGAACAGCCAAGGGACAGAGAACTGGAAAAGCCGGACGTGCGGGAAGCCAGATGCAAGGTTCTTTAGTTGGGGAAGACTGATGTCTCCCTTAAACTCCGTGTCAGATTTTGCTGGTGTGAAGTAAAGGAAGGCCCTAACAATTTCTTTCCTAACAATTCAATTCAGTTAATTACAGACTATGGCACCCAAGGAGGTTAAATAGAGATTTGGCTGCGGACATACAGGTTAGACCAGATACATAATTTGCTGGGGCCCAGGGTAAAATGAAAACCCAGGTCTCTTCCTTTGAACATCATGAAGATGGCGGAAACAGACAATTAACCTAACACAGGGCCTCATTTAGCATTTCACTGGGTCCTTGCAGCATCCTTACAACACAGCTCTCTCCGTCCTCCATTCCCAAATCAAGAAACTCCATCAGGGGGGGCTGGAGAGATGGCTCAGAGGTTAAGAGCACTGGCTGCTCTTCCAGAGGTCCTGAGTTCAATTCCCAGCAACCACATGGTGGTTCACAACCATCTGTAATGAGATCTGGTGCCCTCTTCTGGCCATGTTGACAGAGCACTGTATACATAATAAAAAAATAAATTTAAAAAAAAAAAAAAAAAGAAAGAAACTCCATCAGGACACTGGTGTAACTAAGGTCACAGAACTGGACTGACAATTCGAGCTTAGAAACTGGGCCTTCAGCCTCCAGGCCTGGCCCTTCTTAAACTATGTGAAGCTGGGTACCAAAAGAGGAGATGGCTCTCCTGTCCGGCCACCTGGAGCAGGTCCAGCTAAGGAGAGAGGTCTTGGCTGTGTCTTGCAGAGGCCCAGACAGTCTGGAAATGTGGGAGGGAAGGAGGCATACAGCTAAGACCCCCTGGCTGGAGGTCTTCATGGAGACAAGAGAGCACAGGGAAACAGCTTAGCCATGGAGCAGATATAATTTACT